GTAATTTATCAGTGCTTATGACAACAACCAATTAGGACTTATAGTCCTCTCTATAAAGCTACATAATTATTTAATCTGATTATTTCACAATGTGATTAATCAAACCTCTACAAATATTACAAAAGATCTCTATTACTCTCAACACAATAATAGCTTGTTGGACTTAGTGTCCTCAAACTTATAGAAAACCCAACTGGTTATTTCACGAGACGTTGTTAACTTGTGATTAATCAGTGTCTTTTAAAGGACTTATAGTTCCTTTAGATATATCTCTCTGAATAAATAATTGGTTAATTCACAATGTGGTTAATCAACAATAATATTATATATAATTGACTGGACTTATAGTTCATTCAATAGCACTCATTACTTTTAGTAGCTCTCGACCTATGGGGTGGACTACTCGTTCTTAGGCTCCGGCCTAATCAACAGATTTAACTTGAACCTTGAGTATTCTTGGTATTAAGTAAATAATATTAAATTGACAATGCTATGTTATGATATAGCAATTATCAACATTATATGGCTTGGCCAATTCCAGGGTGTTGAAGGTATCCCCTATCACACAAATCTTCATCTCTATCGGACTGTCTTCACAGGTGATCTCTAATGTCACATTATAGGGCCGAAGGGTTATGTCCCATCAAAGTAGGTTCTGGTGTCTGGGTGATCTCGCTTCTTGGTTTGATCTCTTGTGGAGCCGAAGGGAAACCCCCATTGAGTAAGCTCGTAACAGGGTGACGCTGGGAAACAGTTTCGTACTGTTAGTGGGTGATCTCTATGTCGCCATATAGGACTGAAAGGGTCATCGCCCATGAGTAAGCTCTCGTGTCGGAGTGATCCTGGGATTTCAGTTCCGATCCTTTTGCCTCTGGCAAACTCCAATTTATACTGGAAGCATCGTGGGGCTGGTGGAGCCACTGTAATGTTGAAGTAAATGTACTTATGTTTGGTTTGGAACTGAGAATACTCATTCCCTTATTACCATCAGAGTGCATTAATAAATAGTAATACCCTTCCCTACCTTTTTGGAGGAAGAGTTATAGATAGTTGGAAAGTCTTCCACTGGTCCGGGCGTGTGAGGGGCCCGACCGCTCCCCCATTTTTTTATTATTACAGTTATTCTGTAATTTACTATTAAATTAACATAACTTCCTTGTTACATGAATTATGAGTATAATTCATTAATTATTCTTAATCATTAAAGATTTATCAATCATCTTCATTATTTAACTCCTATCATATACCAATTAAAGAACCTTTTGGTTATTACACACACAATGGGTCCTACATTACTAGACGATCACACATTTATTTATCTGGCCAGATGATCAAGTGTTCTACTATAAGATCTGTTCAATATTAAGTGTTTATTGTAAGGGTTTATATGATTCATAGGATGTTTGGGGTGTATAAGGCAATATAGGTATGGGGTTATATTGAGGGTGTTAGGCCATTCTTTAGGGTAAGTTTTCATTAGATTTTCATGGGTTTTCATTAGATTAAGCCTTCGTAGGTTTTTCATAGGCTTTGTAGGTTTTCAATGTGTAGCTTAGTTCAGAGGGTAGTTATTATAAGGGGTGCAAAGGGGGGGGGGACCATCACAAAGACTTTGTACAAAAGTCGATTGCTTGAGTACCTCTGTCCCATTCGTGTTTCAACCGTGAAGCAGTTGTGTTTGCATGACTGTGTTTCATTTTGAAGGGTGGGATATGGCGTGAATTAACAGGGTACAGAGGAATAACACCTGAGTCCTCAGGAATGGCAACGCATGGGAAGTATTATTGGCGAAACAGTACACTCTGTTATGTCCATGGTACTGCTCATGTCTATCGGCGACAGTTACCACTTTCCATCAGGTGGGCCGTCAGTTTGTTTGCCATTCTAAGTTATATAAAAAATACTACATTTACTGTTTCTAGAATATTCTTTTTATATTACTAGTAACACTATCAGCTTGTCTATATATAGACCACCTCTTTTTTGTCCTTTATTAATCTCTTTGCTTTCAAACCTCTTTTTTCCAACAGCAAGGTTGTTGTTTTTGTGTGTTTTTTTGCGCGTTATTCTTGCAAGTCTGTGTTATTTCTACAAATAGAGCAAAAACATTTAATGTTTCTTCCTTACCTTACCTTTTTTTTTTTTGAGGGAATCGGGTAATGTTAGAAATAAAGGATTGGTGTTAATGACTTATACTAAACATTCCTAGATATTTAATGCAATTGCCCTTCCTTAACTTACTATAATCATTCATTAATATCGAATTAGGCACTTCATCATCGTCATCGTCATCATATCTTTCATTAACTGTCCACTACTGAAGATAAGCCTTCCTCAGAAGGGAAGTTTTGTCAGTAGTTGCCACGCTTGGCAGGCGGGTTGGCAACCGCAGTTAGGCTTCGTTTTAAGAGGGACGCTGCTGCTCGTCCCTGCCTTGGTCTTCCTTTGGCTGCCTCTTACGACTCCCACGGAAAAGGAAGGGGTGGTCTATTCTGTACCTATACCTACACCTACACGGTGAATTAAGCACTTATAACTTCATAATGGGTATAGTCCAGTGTTACCATGATAGTCAAGTCCATAACAGGTGGGGCTATGTTACAGCTAAACTGATCAACGTAGGTCGAAGGATAAGCTAGCTGAAGTGGATTATACGTCACATAGTTCGAAGAACCGATAGCCAATGGAAAAAAATGTTCTTGAGTGTCGACTCCGGACATGTAAACGCAGTGTAGGACAATTTCCCACTAGATGGAACGACGACCTCAAATGCATTGCAGGTAGTCAGTGAATGCAGATGCCGTTCCTTATGGTAGTCTACAGCGTTAATTTTACTTCCACACATCTTTTGCCATACCCACGATACACTTCCATACATGAATGTTGGTGTCAGTACTCCCTGACACTATCATCCCAAGTCGTAAGGTGCATAGAAAAATAATCAGAAAAATCTATACATCAAATATCTTTTTTCTGCTATGCACAAATATCCCAAATATATATATATATATATATATATATATATATATATATATATATATATATATATATATATATATATATATATATATATATATATATATATATATATATATATATATATATATATATAATTATATAACTATATTTACCTATTAAGCTACTCTAGCTATCATTTATTTGTAGAGACTATTCTAAAGTAGTAACAATAACTAATTATGTTGATCATTTAACGCTATGTTCACCAATTAAAACATCAATTAAGTCGCAAATATCAAGCGGTCAACAAAATACAAAATCATTGTAACGAATGTCGAATAAACCGCTAAATGATATTATTATTAACATAATTATTCTTACAATGAGGGATTTTGTACTGCACTACTAGTTAATTTACAGGATACAGAGGAATAACACCTGACTGTCCTCAGGAATGACAACGTCTGGAGGATATCATGGGCAAAACAGTATACTCTGTTATGTCCATGGTACTGCTCATGTCTATAGGCGACGATTACCATTTTCTATCAGGTGGGCCGTCAATTTGTTTGTTATTCTAAGTGGCATAAAAAAGTCGAAAAGAGAAAAACGTAGTGTCAATAGTATTTTGACAGTTGAATGCGTCGTATTCAAATTTCAAAATAATTGTAATTTTTTTACTAATAATTCATTTATTTATTCATTAAAAATAATTACAACTTATAACAGCAAAAGCCAAATCAATGTTATAAATCTAGTATAATATCTATAATATATTTATAATATATTTTTTGGAATAAAAGATTCAGTTATTCTGATAACTCCTTTAAAAATAATCTCATTATTATAATATAACTAGTCACTTAATTATCATTGTTTAAATTATAATTATATTAAATTTAGAATTTTTCTTCGTCCGATCAATGTTGAAACCTCAGTCAGACAAAGCAAGTACTTAATTTTTTTTTTATACAACTTTAAATGACAAACAAGCTGAAGTACCTGATGGAAATATTCTATAACGCATTACCATGGTCAGTATACTGTTTCGAATCAGGTCGAATTCGAGATCAGAGTCGACTATCACTTTGCCCTTCCGCAAACAATCGTGGTAAATTCTTAGTAAATTCGTCACGAGGGACCATTTGATTTTATTCTCACCTATCATCTCCCAATGATAATCCGATAGCACAAGCAGATTTACGCTTACATTTCCATCCACTAAAAAAAACTTCAGCACAGTGCTCATCAATGCGAAACAAAACAACAACTTTGTGTTCAATTATCAATTAAGTTAAACAGTTTATTTAAAGTATTATTTTTAGCAAGTTAAAAATAGCTGATTCATTTAATTGAATGTGGTCAATTCTGTTAACGTTTATTTGTTTATATATTTTATTTTTATTTAAAAATAGCCTATGCATTTAATATTAAATACGAATTAATTAATTGATAATTATATTGTTAAATGTTAAAATTGAAAATCGAATTAGTTATATTAAGCCTATGATAAATGTTGATTGTGATGATGGCCTTTTATGAAAATATAAAAAAAAAAGTTTATACCATTTTTATAACTAAAGTATGTCGAATATTTTATAAATAAACAAAATATCATAAGTAAGAACAATTACCCTGAGGATTTCATATAAAATTTATTATATTATCTTAATAACAATACATTTTATATTATCATGTATATTTAAACAATGTATTTTTAAACAATGAAATGCGATAGTATTCCTATGAGGTAATGAGAACAAAGCCGCAAGATATAACAAATATAAACATAAAAATATTCTTCTTGGTTTCACAGACAAAACCGTGTCGAACTTACGTCAAACTTTTTTACAATATATATCGTCGTTGAGACTATTGAATTGTAAATGTGACTTTCACGTGAATTGCTCGCATGTAATTTTGTAAAATCTCAAATTTTCCATGTCAATGAATTTAACAGAATCGCAACTGTATTATTTACGTATATGCCACTTACTATTCTTCTTATTATCTGCGTTACTACAAAACGATATAAAAGGAGCACAAGTCAGACACAAATCAGTGTTTGCTTGGAAACAAAGCAGGAAGCATCTATTGTTTGTTTTTCTTACATTTACATTAATATGATCGAGAAAGCACCCGCTTTTACTGAACTGGGGGAGTTTGCGAGCATTGGTGTAAGTCTACGTATCTTTTTATTATTTTTTTATTTATAAAGATAATAAATTTATGCAAATTAAATGTAAGTTACAATTACAAAATATGTAATTCACATGGACAAGTTAAGCTGTTGAAGGGTAAATAAGTAACAGATATCAAATGCATAAACATCCGAAGTTAAATAAAATAAAAATATGTGTCTTATATATTTACTTCAAATTCAATGCAAACTGCTAAGCCATTTGCGTTTGATTGAGTAACAAACATAATATTATAAACATGCAAACATTTTTACAATCTTTCACATTTATTAGTATAATGAAATAAATAAATAAAAATACATGTTTCCTACTAAAAAGAAAACAAAACCATGAATTTTTACAAATATTTTTAACTATATATAGGGAATTATATAAAAATAAACAATGGAAGAAAGAACCTCTCGTTCTTGAAGACGAAGGTCTTTAGAGATTTCGATTTAGAGAAGTCTCCCAATTCTTGGCTGTCTTCATCCATTGTTCACCAGTCGCTGGTATTTTTCAAATCAAATAAGTAGAATCAATTGGATGTAAATGAATACATTTTTTATTTTACTGAACTAGGTGTTATCTTGCGGAGGTCCATAATTCTGGTTATAATAGTGGTGGTAAATTTTCGAGTGAAAACACACTAATGGTAATTGAATTAAATTAAATAATTTGATACATATTTTATCTTACAGGCTGGTGGTACAGTAGTGTTTGCAACAGACGATTTTTTCGCTCCATGTGAGAATATGATAGCGGATTCGGAGCCAATATTTTTACCTGATAAGTTCACAGAGTATGGAAAATGGATGGATGGGTGGGAGACCCGCAGGAAAAGGATCGCTGGCCATGACTGGTGCATTATCAAGCTGGCTACAAAATGTGTTATCAGAGGTACCTAGTTTAGTTTAAAAGAAACTATGTCCTAAGACTTGATATACGTGAATAAATTTAAAAATTATTACAGGATATTGGGGAATGTTACAAGGTATTACTTCTGTAATCACGTTGATCAAAAAGTCATTGTTATTAAAAAAAGAGCGACGAAGGATCACGATGATCTGACCTTTATTTATTTTTGGTTAATTATTTTTTATGATATTTATTTGCCATCATATATCTCACCATAGAACTGGAGTTCACCCATATTTCTTGAGTGCGTGGCACACTGCCACTGTCTGTGCATTCCGTTTTTTCCCACTTCGCATGTTGTGTTGTGAAAATAGCTTCCTTCTTCAATTTTCCTTTTATATGGGGAATAATATATAATATGAAGCTTTACAAATAACGTGCTTACAAATATTTAAAATGCTGGCAACGTACTGTTCACAATATTATTAGCATACGATTTTTTGGGATTTTATTACGTCTCCACTTCTCATTATTTATTTTAATTTTTTTAGGTTTACTGGTCGACACTGCATTTTTTACTGGGAACTACACTCCAAAATATTCTTTACAAGCTGCATGTTTGACACCTGAAGGTATGTTTTAAGTAGTAATTTATTTATATTATTATAATTTATATACATTTTTATTTATATTAGTATTATTACGGTATTTTATATATAAAGATCACGATAATTTCTGATTAACCAATTTTAATGAAATTTCGTAAATATGTATTTTGTACTCTAGAGATAGGACAGGTTTTATTACACTAAGTAAAAAAAAAACCTGGTAGGTGGCAATGGGGAGCAAAGCTATATATCATCATCAACAGAAGATGATGATAGTATCAGCCATCACTGACCATTGCTAAACATAGGTCTCCTCCTATTGGGGGATTTTGGTAGTAGTTGACACAGTAGGCTTTGGAGAGGTTTTAAAAGGGACACTGCTGCCTATCCCTCGATCTTTAAACGTTTGCTGAGTCAGTTTCGTGTTCGTCAGCTATACATTCTACAAGTCTTTAAATCGTGTCATAAAAATTCACTTTGTCATCTTGACCACCCAAAACTATTAACAAAAAGGATTTATAGAATTCGTGTTCCTTGTATTAAAACCACATTTGCAAGTCGCTTACCACGTTTTCTTCATCCTTACATATACAATAAAATACTTAAATGTTGCCAAATAAAAAATAATATTTCATCACAGGCTAATAGACTTGTAAAAAATTATTTACTTTCATTAAATTATGAGGAAACTGAGGATTTCATGAAACCCTGATCCTGACAGTGTACATATATATACGCACGTACCTAATTATGCACGAATGCACAAGCATGCACGCACGCACTCACTCACTCATACACAACATATACCTACACACGCGCGCGTACACATACACACACACACACACACACACACACACACACACACAAACGCGCGCGCGCGCACACACACACGCACACGCACATGCACACGCACGCACGCACGCACACACGTACTCACCATTTTACATAGTTTTCCTTATTTATTTATTTATTTTAGTTTTTGGTAAATAAAGTGTACTAATAAATAGGTAATAGTCCCCAAGATTGGGGACATGCAGATATTTCCTCGTTGTATATAAATTGTAAAATTTTAATATTATTTTATCCTAAATTCATATGTGTAAATTTAACCCTACAATGCATGATTTTTTTAAGTTGTGTCAAAAAAATATATGTGGTTCTATATAGTGTCTAGACATAATAAATGATAATAAAGTTAGTATTTAGTATATAATTGAACTATACTAATATTTCTTTACATCTCACATGTCTTAAAAGCAATATTATAAAAGCTTAATAATAATTTCCTTTAATAATACATATCTGTAATATAATTTTATTTAACATTTTAATATAATTAATATATTCATGTTTTCATAAATGAAAGCGTTAGTTATCAAGAATGAATTAACATTTCAGTTTATAGAAGAGCAAGAACTATTTACTAAAACATTTTTATATTTAACCGAAGCCTTCCAACTTATATAAGTTATGAGGTAAAAATGTAAAAGAAAATAAAGTTCATTTTATTTATTTTTTCCTCCTAACAGAAGAAACAGTAATCCCGGAAAGATTTTCAGAAATGGGTTCAGCTTGTAGCGAATGGAATTTACAACAGATTAAACTACTGAAATCTGAAAAATGGGAAGAGATAGTACCTTCTACGGCTTTACAACCCGGCTACGAGGAAACCCGCCTCAACTACCAGAAGGTAATAAAATAAACTACCGGATGATTCCACGGCGAAACAGCTTCACTATTGCGCCGTAATACTCATAACAACAATCCTATAAAATAAACATCTAATTGTTTGGATTTTATACCGTGAACCCTCAAACTTACATTGTAATGAATATAATATCATGTATTACCATATATCGCAACTCCATATTTAGAATAAACAAAATTTTCCATCGTGCCTCCAATCAAATTGTTTATAATTACTCCTCTTCATCCAAAAGTTGCCTGGAAGAGATTGCTTTTAGCGATAAGGTCGCCATTGCTTTCTCATTATGATTATTTCTTTTAATTGTTTATATTTATTATAATGCTTTTGATAATAGAAAGATATTTAATTAGCTAATAATATGTACTGCACTTTCTTTTCAAAAAGAAATATAGATTTCCCATATATATGACCATATGATATAGATACCCATACGAACCCTGATCGGGTTACTAATATTAAATACAATTAATAAAAAGAAATAACAATACACTCAGGTGGTGAGCGACGAAGCGTGGACACATATTCGTTTGAACATGTACCCTGACGGTGGTATAGCCAGGCTGAGGGTGTTCGGGGAAGCGAAACCAGAGCCCCCACGGGAGGATCAGATTATAGACCTCGTCTCACTCCTCAACGGAGGCACTTGCCAAGGTAAATACAATGGATATTAATGTTTAACATATTTAAAATAGAGATAATTTTTAAACGTCGACAGTAAATTTTGTTTTAAGTACTAGTAAATGTATTGGGTTATTATTGAAGCTTTAAAAGTATTCATAACGAAGTATGGTAACTATATGTCAATATTCAAAATCGATTGAACATTCTTCAGTGTTTCTAACCAATTATTTAAATAGTGCTGTGCTTGAGAAGTAAAACGTAAATCATAAAATATATTGTGTTTAAATTTACTATTTAAAAGATTGCACCATACTTTGCTTCGGAATTTTTTTAATACATTTGACTATAACTGTACTATTTTAGTATAAAATCGTGTAGTATATACATACGTACGTATGTACTAACATAATATTATCAGAAAGATTTCTATGTATTATTATTATTTGTATATATATTTAAATAATAAATCCATCAAAAGTTTAGTATTGAATGTCAAGGCCAAGGTCATAATAAAATATTCTCAGTTTGGGACTCGATATGACATAAATATATTAAGAATAGAAAAATAATTATATTAGTTTTTACCTACGACTTCGTCCACGTGACATAAATATGTGGATTGACTAGGACATATTATCTCTTTTTCAATCCCATATAATGCATGCCATTATCATCATCATTTCAGCCATTATCCGTGCACTTTTGGACATAGGCCTTCCCCTTAGATTGCATATATAGTGCATGTACTTACACCAAATTTCATAACAATCAGCTAAATTGTTAAAATACCAATAAATTAACAAATAAAGTAAGAAACTGTCTTTATAATCGTTTCTAAGTATTATAAATTGTAAGTAGACATGTCTGTACATGAGATAAAAACATAAAGTACCAAAATAATACTTTCAAAAATTTTGACTATATATATCTTTTTATGCAATTTAGAATGGCAAACAAGTTGACGGCCCACCTGGCGGAAAGTGGTAACCGTCACCTATCGACAACAGCAGTACCATGGACATAGTGTAGGTTTCATCTTGATACAGCAGATAAAAGTAACCTATTTTATTATTTTTTCCCTCTTCTGAAATCCACATCTATAAAGTAACAGACAAAAAGCTATTTTATAATAATACAGATATTAACTTCTTACCTTTTATTTTAGAATTCTCAAACGCTCACTACGGTCATCCAAAGAACATGATAAAGCCTGGTAAAAGCCAAGTGATGTCAGATGGATGGGAGACAGCCAGGAGATTGGATAGACCGAACATCATTGAAGCGAATGATGATGGAACGTTGAAAGTACCAGGTATATTATTTTATGTTGCTACAACGAGGATAATATACAAGCATACGGTTCGCCTGATATAAGAGAACACCACAGCTAATAAACGATTATTAAAATTAGTTTTAAATCCGGGTCGTTTAATGTACAAGAAAAAAAAACTAACTATATGGTAAACCTTATACTCTTTTATGTTTCAATTAATGAAATTATACTAATTAGTTAATAAATGTCTGCGATATCAAACAGCTTAGAATTTGGTATGAATATAAATAAATCACTGGCAGTAGACATTTATTTACTTTCACCATTATCTGTCCATTGCTGAATAAGGGCCCCATAGACTGCCACAAGGAACGGTCCTGAGCTAACTGCATCCACTGACATCCTGCAATGCATTTGAGGTCGTCACTATATCTAGTGGGGGATCGTCCTACATTGTCTTTGTTCATAAGGCGTCGCCACTCTAGAACCTTTTTTTGTATATATTTAATATATTCTTTAATTTTTAGGTCAAGAATGGGCAATCTTCAAATTGGGATTCCCAGGTAGAATACAAAAGATATGTATAGACACAGCGCATTTCAAAGGAAACTTTCCTGACTCCGTGATGGTCGAGGGTGCATATCTGGGCAATATAGATCGGTGTTCGATCGATCAAACTTGGCAGAATATCTTGAAACCTAAGAAGGTATAATATAATATTTTATCAAAATTAGTAAGTTCGAATCTAGTTAACATCAAAATCTTTGTTAGTCAATTTAAATATTCGATTAACTCCAGATGAAAAATGTTGAAATAAATCAAATGAATCCGAATAACACCGGTAGGCTCGCCCACTGATACGTTGTATTCTAATATGTTCGGCGAAATATCAGCATGTCGAATATTATATTAATTTAAACTGAGAATTTTTTAAATTAAAAACAAATTTACCAGAGAGAGACTGTACAAAAGTCGATTGCTTGTGTATCTCTGTCCCATTCGGGTTTCAACCGTGAAGCAGTTGTGTTTGCATGGCTGTGTTTCGGTTTAAAGGGTGGGATATGGCGTAAATTTACTGGGTACAGAGGAATAACACCTGAGTGCTCAGGAATGACAACGCATAGGCGACGGTTACCACTTTCCATCAGGTGGGGCGTCAGCTTGTTTGCCATTCTAAGTTGTATAAAAAAAAGACTCGTCCACTGATACGTTATATATGTTCGGCGAAATATCAGCATGTCGAATATTATGTTAATTTAAACTGAGAATTTTTTAATTTAAAAATACTAATTAAAAAACAAATTCATTTTTATGTTGACTTATTGAAACAGATTTCATGAAATTTTAATTGACGGAATTGACTGTTAATAAACTTTAAACACAACATAGAAATGTCACTACTACTATACTATTAGATGGCATTAACAATTCAGATAAAAGTTTATTAGGAGTCTAACAGAAACATAAATATTTTAGAAGTAATCAATAATTTCGTATGAAAACTTTAAATAACTCACAACTTCGGATGTTCGAATTTATATTAAAAATTATCCCAACTTTTATCTAGGCAGTTATTATTTTAAAATAAGTAAAATCTTGTATTGCAAACGTTGTAGAAAATCAAAATTGGAACATTATTTACACAAACCCATATATATACATTTTCTACGATAACAAGATACGCCCCTCCAAAATTCAAAATATTAAAAATGTGTCAGTAAAAGTATTCACAAGATTTCGACCAAGGAGTATAATACTCCTCTAATTGGTCCGGTACTGAAGATGTTTCCTCACAAACACAACCAGAGTACCACGTCTGTTTATGGTCACACACATTGAAATAAAAAGTTGAGGGAGTGTGCCATGTTAAGGTAGACAATTTACACCCACCACTGCACTATCTATACGTAGTACATATGCCATACTCACACACTCAAAAAGCAATGAAAAAGTTGAAACCAAAAATATTTATACTAGGATAATGCATATGACAGTTTTGACGTTGAAAGGAAATGAACTAAAAAATAATGTTTTTTTTTTTCATGTATTTGTCATAGTTTTTATTACAATTCGACGGTATACAATATTTTACTTGGATTTAATGTTTTTTTTATGTTCAATTATACTTACAACTTCAACATATAAAGCGTATTTACATGTGAAATGTGTAATATTATGGGATTTATTTTATAATTTATGTTATGACATAAACTATAAAAGATACCGCACAAAGTAATCTTATGTTTGTTTAAATTATGTTGAAGTTTAAAATTTTTAAGTTATTCACAATATTGTTTATCTCTCTTCAATTCACTATAGGCTACAAGACCTGTTTTATTCTGACATACATGACAATATACATATGAATTTATATTATTGCATATTACAATACATTTAATTAATCACATTGTAATATTTTAGAAGAAACAATAAACGGTATCTATCTATTTATATACATAATTACTAGATTTTTTTTTTGTCTTATTATTATTCTTCGCATATTCTATTTAGAAAGTAATACAGTTTGTAAATTTATTTATGTTGTTCCTTTCAGATGACAGCCCACAAAGAACATTGGTTCGACTGTGAATCCGAAGTCATTACTCACATTAAAGTCACAATGGCTCCTGACGGTGGCATAAGCAGAATCAGGACGTATGGTGTTATTGACAATAAATGAATCCACCGAATATATATAGCTCGATTACAAAAAGAATTATCAAAATCGATTCAAAATTGGCAATGTAATCGTATAATGTAACCTCAAAAAACAAAACAGTCATTCAAAACATTATATAGTGACGGTAAAATCGATTCTATCGTGCATAAATTATATACTTAAAAACAATTTCCACTCCAGAACATACTGCTGCAAGAAATGCTTTTGACCCATCAGTATTCAGTAACGGATCCACTATGCTATGTCTAAATGATAAAAGACCAAATGAAATAAGCCCGAATACTAATGCCCGAAGATTCATTTGACCGATTAGTTAAAATACCGAAAGCTTGTAACCCCGAATGGTCATAAACCCAAAAATTAATTGACCGATCAATTGTATGACCGAAACATCAATATATTGTTAGCACCTATTCTTTACTTTCAAACTTGTTTACTTATTTCCATTGCAAAATACTAAAAATCGTAATCGTTAATATATTTTTAAGGAAATGTTTTACAGTCCAATTATCTACTTCCAATATTCACGCGTACAACGTTGCAGGAAAAAGTTAGTATTAAATAATTATAATTATCTACATAGAGGAAATATTATATATATTTTGATTTTAAGGTATAATGGATGTAAAAATTTATATTTCTTTTATCTTATCTGGTAGTGAAAAATGTTTAAGATTCATTATTTTCTTATTAAAATTACAAGGTGGGGGACTATTTTGTTATTTATATAATACGTAATTACGTGTTAATTATACATTAAATAATTAATTAAAACGTAATTAATTTCACCGTAATTATTTAGCTGTGATACATGAGAATAAATATAGATGCTAAAAGTGAGATGAATTAGTTATTTTAAATTTAATGTATCATTGATATTTATTAATTTTAATAAATTAATAACTTTGTCCAAAGAATGAACTTGATATAATAGACGTTATTTTATGTACAAACATTAAAATGAAGAGATTTTTAGTATATATTTTAATTAGAATAAATTGTAAAAAATAATAATATGTTATTAATTATAAGCATTAATTTATAAATTCAAAATAGTATTATTATCGATAATAATTGCTGTTATTATAATAAATTAAGTTTTGAAATTAAATACTTTCATTTTTTTAAAACCTTTCTAAATTATATTCAAAAAGTTCTTTAACAATATACAAACACAATTTCATACATCGTATCTGCTATTTCCCTTCATATTAACTGTTACAAATAATGCTAATTCAATAATAGTCCCTGCATTCGATTTTTATCATTCATAGGCGATGCACTATTAACAATTACAAGAAATCTTGACAACGCCATCTCAAATAGCTATTTCTCAAACATGCTTGGAAATGTGAGCAATATTTTGACAATCTTCTTCGAGATAAATCAAAATTATCGTACTGGCCAGTTACATGCCGGCAGCGGCCGGCAAAAGTTGTATGAAAATCCACATCTGTCGTGTTTTGCGGCCAGATAAATTACTATGTAAACTCATATCTGTCCTGTAATTTAAAAATGGAATGACCTTTTACTTCGAAACATGGCTACCAAGGAGGTAACTAATAAAAGGTTTTATTTAAATTTTGAACTGGCTAGCAAATAGAAAGCTGTTTATTGAAAAAAAAATACAAAGGAACATTATAGCGCGTGAAAAATTATTGTTCGTTATTCATTAAACTTAAAAAGTAAAATTGTGTTTCTGATTTCCGCGTATTATTTGAGAAAAGTACTATACAAGCCTTGGCCACAACTAGGCATTGATGGACTCACGTATGTGTGCCTCAGCTACGCCTCGGCCCACATTTGCACGTTCGTCCATCAACGCCTCAGTTGCTGGCCGCTGCAGTAATGTACTATAACTAGAGACTATAGATCATTATTGATATAATATATATTTACTTTTATTAGCAAATAGTAGAAATGTGAAATGAGACCATAACTGGTGAAAATTACTTATGTGAAATTTCACAGATTAAAAACAATGTTAAATAATTTAATTATAGTTCTCAGGAATTACAACGCATAACTGAATACCATGAGTACCAAAGTATTTTTTGTGATGACCACAGTGATGTTACATCGACGGTTTCTACATTTCATCAGGTGGACCGTTATCTGGTTTGTCATTGTAAGTATAATTAAAAATTATAAATGAAGGCTTAAGTTGCTCCGTTCGCGGCTATATAATACTGAGCTATTTATTCATTTACAGTAGTATTTAATAAATATTTGGATAGATTCTATCTTGTAATCGAATATATCTGTGATATTACTTCGAAATAAGTGCTGTGATTTTTACATTATAGTTTTTTTTTAGATTGAATGTTAAACGCTTCATTTTTTCTTCTATTCCACGATTATTATGTAAAATAATTACGCAGATATTAGATACGTACTTAAAATATGAAAATGTACAGACACAAGATTTTTATCATTTTATTAATTTAATATAAATTATTATTGTTCACAGATAATTAACATCAACATTCTTCTTGTAAATTATTGTCATTCATGTAGATTATGGCCATGTGGTCCTGTCATAGAATAAGCCACCTCTTACATTTACGTGGGTGTCATAAGAGGCGACTAAGAGAGGGCGAGCGATGGGCAGCACCAACCTTTTAAAACATATCTAAACCCTAACGGCGGTTGCCAATCTGCCTGCCAAACACGGCAACTACTAGTAAATTCTCCCAAGGGAGAGACTTATGTTCAGCAGTAGCTATGATGTTGATAATGATGTAAATTATTATTTTATCATTTGCATTATTTTTGTAAATTATTATCATTCATGTAAATTATGGCCATGTGGTCCCGGCATAGAATAGGCCACCCCCTTACATTTCCGTGGGTGTCATAAGGAGCGACTAACGGAGGACGAGCGATGGGCAGTACCAACCCTTTTAAAACATATCTAAAACCGAACTGCGGTTGCCAATCTGCCTGCCAAACATGGCAACTACTAGTAAATCTCCCCAAGGGAGAAACTTATGTTCAACAGTAGCTATGATGTTGATAATGATGTAAATTATTATTTAATCATTTGCATTATTTTTGTAAATTATTATCATTCATGTAAATTATGACTGTGTGGTCTCGGCATAGAATAGACTAACCCCTCCATTCCTGTGGATGTCATAGGAACCGACTAAGGGAGGGTGAGCGATGGGCAGCAGCATTCCTTTTCAAACATATCTGAAGCCTAACTGCGGTTGCCAATCCGTCTGCCAAACATGGCAATCACTAGCAAAATCTCCCAAGGAGGAGGCTTATGTTCAACAGTGAATAGTTATAGGCTATAATGATGATGATGATGATGATGTAAAAATATTATTATTTAATTATTTGCATTCTTTTTGTAAATTAAAATTAATGTAATTGTAATATAATAATAATGTAACAAATATATAAAACAATAATAGCTACCATTAGCTGTAAATTCGTATGCTAATGTGATAGTGATATCTTAAATAACACATCTTACGAGTTGTACAAATAGCGGCAAGGGTATGTTAGGCGTTTATTTAATAAGGCTTTTGCAATTACCAAATGGGAAAATGGAAATTAAGCAAGATATTAACATAGCCCAGGGCAACGACGTGTAACTTCAGAATATACCACAGAATTTCCTTACATAATGTATGTACGTGCTCTGTTTAGACACTTACTTGTATAAGGATGGATAGATTCGGTTTATACATAATTATATATATAATTATATGTAATATTATAATGATAAATAATGTTACGATATAGACCGAGAGTGGCCAACCGGTCAATCGGGGGGAAAAGGATTGCCAGTAATGAGGTCTTATAGCTCCAATGCTAGCAATATACCTTCGCAGATCGACCTCCACGCGGTTCTACCTGGAAACCACAATGGTGAATTCTTGTCAAATTCATCATGATGGGCCAACTGACCTGAATTCATCCTCACCTGTCACTTTCTACTGATGCCCCACCAGTGTATAGTATATCGATAGCGCGAGCGGAGTAACTATTATTCCATTTTCACCCATTAAAAAAATCAGTTAACGCGATCGACCAGTCGATTGCGACTAGTCTATCGTGGCAAGGAAAAAACAATATAACATTTTGCTAATTTAGTGGAAAATGCTCAGACGCAATGCTCACACTAATATATACAAGAAAATAAGTAGTTACTAAGAATAATTTACAGTTTTATGTTTTCCTGGTTAATAAAATTAAAAATACTACAATACTACATAATTATATACTGAATTAACATAATTCATTTAAGATTTCAAGTAGTATGTAATTGGTAGAGCGTACAGAGTTTCGTCAGTAAACAGTAGATCTTAGGTCTAGTCGAGTCAGCCACCTCTGGTATAGACCTATCACTTTTTCAATCGACTTCAAAAGGAGGAGATTCTAAATATGTATTCCATTTTAGAGTTCCGTATCAAAAAGAAGTAGTTATGACACGTCGCCGTCTGACCCTCCAATTATAGTACCTTATGAAAAAGACTTTATTTACATATTTAAAAACCGGTTTTTATTTCTTTTTACCATACGTCCAGTAATTTTCGACTAATGATAAATACACTAAATACATATGTATATACATCAAATAAATTTTTACCTGATAAAAAAAAAAAAAACAGAACCACCAGTATATACTGATTTTATTTAAAAACATGTCTACGAAGACATAACATCTTCACGAATGGCAACACATAAAGCATGTCATGGACATTGTAATATATTTCTAATTTTCTATAGTAATATTTATATCTATAGGGGTCGGTTACCACAATTTATCAGGTAAGTTATTAGTTTTTTGCTTTTTTTTATACAACATATAATGGCAAACAAGCTGACGGCCCACCTGATGGAAAGTGGTAACCGTCGCCTATAGACATGAGCAGTACCATGGACATAACAGAGTATACTGTTTCGCCCATGATACCCCCCATGCGTTGCTATTCCTGAGGACTCAGGTGTTATTCCTCTGTACTCAGTAAATTCACGCCATATCCCACCCTTCAAATCGAAACACAGCCATGCTAACACAACTGCTTCACGGTTGAAACATGAATGGGACAGAGGTACCCAAGCAATCGACTTTTATACAAAATCTCCCTGTTATAAATATCACAAATAAACTATTTCCCAGCAATGGGATATTATAGATTATTAATTTTTATTCAATACATTCGTTAATTACGAATTAAAGTTTAAAGATTATTTTTATAAGCAATAAGGTAAACTCCTATTGCTTGTAAACCGTAACAGTAGACCGACATCGGTCTCATGTTAATTAATCAAAAATTGCAAACGGTTCAGAATTGTCGAATAAGTAAACTAAAAAAAAAACAGGTGAATTAAAATAAATACTTCTCATGCTTGAAGTCGTTTAAAAATATTAAAACTACGTAGCGATCAATGAGCACGCCATAATTATTGCGCGCAAAGAATACCTTTATTAAAATTCGACGCTTATTACAATTTCGATTCTTATAAATAATTCGTGGAGTTTCGCAATGGAATTTCTTCGAAGAATAAGTCAGCAACTTATAAAAAAATTCCTGTTCCTGAAGCACGTCATTATTAGGTACCTACCTGAAAAATGTCTGCCTTTCCCGTGTCATTGAGACGAGGCACGAAATTACATTTT